ACCCATCTACCTTACTGTAGTTTACCCTTACTGGACACCATTCTACCCATTTCTGTAACGTTTTGTAAGTTGGAGAACTAGGCGACGGGTGAGGGTCAGGGGCTGAGACGGGAGTAATGCAAACATGATTTACTTTGCCCTCCTTATTAATAGCTTAGTGATCTTTTTCATTTCCCTTCCTATATATAAACTGGTCTGTATTCCCTGCCAGTATGTAGATATACACTAGTGTGCAACTTGCATTCAATCCTTTCCATATATTTCCTATTATGAACAGTGATTCAATAAACAAATAACCTAGCACAAGTGTATGCTTATCTAGAGACTGCAAAGCTGAAAATGAAATCTGTAACTGATCAGTACTGGTCTTGGTATGGAGTTGTACTATTTTGCATTCCCAGTAGCAATAAGTATCCATGGTGAAAGTTCCAGATTTTCATCAATTAGTAACTTTTAACCTCTACATCACTGGGTATAATAGGGCAATGTGCACTCTTAAATGTTATGTGATGTTTATGTATCCACCAGTAGAACTCTGTCAAGTCACGATAGTTAACATCACCACCACCCATGTTCTTACCCTTCCGTTTAAAGGCCCACATCACCACCCAACCACTGGGCTCTATTAACACATCAGCTGGACAGCTGTTGCATCATTTCTATACCTGCATATTGCTCGTTGATCACAAGTACTCCGGGCACTCCTATTAGTCATTCTTCCATAACCTCCATCAATACAATATTGTCTGGCTAATTTCACTAAACACTTCCTCTCCAACCCAGTGCCTAACACAAGAGTTCTTCATGAACTTCACTGTGGCCTACAGTATGTGGATTTGTTGCTGTTGCTTTTTGTTTTGATGAGACAGCCTGGAACTCAATATAATCAAGCTGGCCATGAACTCAAATTGATCCACTTTCCTTTCCTCCTCAGTTACTTTATATATTACTCTGGCTTCTTCCACTCTGAAACTTTGCATATACTCTTATTTTTTCCTACTGCTTAGCTGTATTAAAACATTTTACTCTTGCTTCCTAATGGTTTAATTTCTACTTTGAAAAGAACAGGAATAGAGCAATCTACATTCTCTTTTCTTGACCAACATTCTTAAATATATCCTCCAAAATATCTTGTAACACAATAGTTCTGTTAGAAACCATGTACCTGTTCAGTGGTAAAACTGGGTCACACTGCCACTAGTGAGGCACTGGGAGCTTGATGTGCTTTATACTCACATGAAAGTAGTGCCCATTTCTGGTTTTGGTCATTCATGTGGGTGTATAACGAACTTACTGATTTTTCATTTTCCTGATGCCAGGCACTTCTAGGTGTGGTAAGCACATGGAAGTTAGTCTACCCGAGGATGCATGAAAGTATAGAAGAATCAGGTTAGCTGATCACAAAAAAATTAAAGTATATTACAGAGGAGACAAAGGCTATCCTAGTGTGTACAACCAAATGTTTGGAGCTTTTGCTATTGCCTATTTAATGGATTTAGGAAACTTGTTTGAATCATGCCCAGAATAAATTGTTCACAGTAGATAGTAACTTGAAATTTAGCAGTTTTAAATGATGGACTGTGGCTTTGGCCTCAATGACACTGTAACTTTGGTATGAAGACAGCACATTTTACCTAGTCAACAGAAAGTTTTGCAACTCACTCACAGGCCACTTGCATAACATGTGAATACAGACATACTGTGTCCCATCAATCTTGGCTGCTGTCCCACAAGTAAATCAAAAGGTCTTTTGAATCTGTGAATATGTATCTCTACACAATCCTAGATTATCATGCTATTCTTTCAGCCTAAAATGTAGTTTCGCTACATTTCTGTATGTTATCACTAAACTATATATATTCCTATGTTATTGTACATCAACACTCAATGTGTTCATGTGGGTAGAGTCAAAAGGCAAACACTTTAAGACTGTAACACTTAAGGTAACTATAAAAATTATCATTTGAACTAACAATTCATAAGTCTTGGCTTTTTTTTTTTGAGACACAAGTTGACCTCAAACTCTCTGAGAATTACCTTAATGTTTTTATGATTTCCTGACCTTAAGACATTTGGCCAGAGCTAGCAAACTCATCTCTAATCTTTTAGGTCATACTTTAAGAAGCACTAGTTAAAATATTTAGCATATTTAAGTAAAAATCCATCTGCAATGAAGTTGTAATTTGGAATCCTTTATTATGTATAACACATCTGCCATCCCAGTTACTAGATGTTAAACTGCATTCTTAGAGAAAGATCAAGTTTTGACTAGGCAACACCTGAAAGGCCGCACATATCTGTAAACCAGGGGATCCACACACACGGTACTATATGAAGAGAAACAAAAATGCGGATACTGTAGCTTTTAGTGTTATTTCTGTGAGGCAAATTATAAATATCAAAGGCAGACAGACCATTAGACCCCACTAGATCCTCAAGAGAACAGTATGTGTGAATTCCAAAATTTTGAAGGAAGGGAAAAAGAGACATAAGTCATAGACAATGATATTCAGTAGAGCATAAAACTATAATGCTTTAATTCAAATTATTTAAAACAACTTCACTTTTATTGTGTATACACAAGTGTGCACCAGACATGCACATGGAAGTCAGAGGGCGGCTTGTAGAGGTCGGTTGGCTCCCCTCCACCTTGTGGGCCTAGGGAACAAATTCAGGTTATCAGTCTTATCCACTGAACCATTCTGCCTACCCAGAAGGACCAATCTCTAGTAAAGAACGTATAACTTTTTTCTAATCAGTTAGGAAATTGTACATGTAAATACATACAATGAAATGACTGCTCCAAATGAAATATTTCCAACTTGTATTCTGACTGCCTGTAATTTTTCTTTTTTCCCTTCTAGATAACCACATTTTAATAACAACTCTGGTGATTGCTGGCACAGTAACTCTGACAGTTTTGGGAGCAATTATTTGGTTCCTCTATAAAAGGAATGCTTGCTCTGGCTTCAGCGTCTTCTCAACCACACTGCAATCACCTTACAATGACGACTGCGCTTTGGTAGTTGCAGATGACGACTATGCTGTCCAGCTGGACTAAGACTTCAATATTATCAAACCATCATATCAAATACCTTTAATGATTTCCTGTGCAAGGCTTTGATATAAAAGTTACCATAGAAAACTGAAGCTTTTTCCCCCCTTTATTTTCGTTAATATTTTCATGTACTCGCTGTGACAAAATAGAATGTTTTGGTTCATTTTTTCTTAAAAAACAGGTTTTAGAAAAGAAACAACTATAGATCTAACTTCGAAGTTTTCTTAGGTAATTTTCATTTGAGTATATGAAACCTCCGTGTACAATAAAGCTGCTAAAGTGCTGGGTCTTATTACTTCTTCCATTAAGTTCCATTTTATCCTGCAACAACTCTACTTACTGATAGCACCAGGAAGAAGCTGAACAAAGCCTGCCCTTTAATAGTGATCTCACTGGCTATGGTGACAATGGTGACAATCAATTCCTTTGTTTCTCTTAAAGAGGAAGACATTTTACAGATTCTGATACTCCACACTTGTTTATTGTTTTTATAGAACATTTGGGACAAGCAGTATTTAATTATAATCAAATAATTATGTTACAGATTCTTCCAAAGAAAATACAGCTCTAGCTAAGAGGTCATGGAGATGGTGGCCAGCTGGTTTAACCTGTGTGTCTCTTGAGCAAAGACTTCCTAGACCACCCTATCTTTTAACTACACAGGGTAGATCAGGGTGGATCCTTTTCCAACACTATGAGGAAATTATATATTTTGATGACACGAAAACCATGCATGCCAGATCTGAGGGAAAACAAGTACAACCCTAGAGATAATGTTCAGTTTTTGGTATCCCTAACATAGTTTTTAAAGAGTCATCATCAGTATAAAAATAGAAGAAAGCTCAAGTAATTCTGATTTCCTTTAGAAGTTTTATTACTTCAGAGATAGTACTGGAAAATACTTCATCTAATGTTACATGTTTTCACTATGAACCAGAAATATGCCTTATCACAATTAGTGACACTACATATTTCAATAGCTCTGTTTTTGAGAGTCTGTATAGCACAAGGTAGCTTCCAATTGGCATCCTACCTGCTAATATCATAGGTATGACGGATTATGGCATCTAATGGCACTCCTAACCACAAACTGGTGATGACTTACCAAGAGTCACATGATACTAAAGCAGCAAGTGTTATAGCAGGTCACACTAGCTGTAGCATTCTGTAAAGGATCAACCTTCTTGTCAGCTATTCAGAGTGCTAACAGGGAATATTAGCTGGTCGTTGTCCCCTCCTTTTCTTACTATTTTTTTTTTTTAAAAACTGGTATCAATCCTATTACCTCCTGTAAGCTGATAGCCTGAGAATATCCACTTAGCTACTATCTGTATGTGGCTATTTAAATTAAAATTAAATGCAGTTTAAAATCATCCACGGCTTGTTATTATCTTATGAGAACCCTATCTCAAAACAAACAAACAAAAGGTATTTTTTACTTAAGACAATATATCGCTAAGAAAAGTTTAGAGGGGGCTGGAAAGATGGCTCAGAGGTTAAGAGCATTGTCTGCTCTTCCAAAGGTCCTGAGTTCAATTCCCAGCAACCACATGGTGGCTCACAACAATCTGTAATAGGGTTTGGTGCCCTCTTCTGGCCTGCAGGCATACATACAGACAGAATATTGTATACATTAGAGCATGTTCAGGGGCTGCAGAGATGGGTCAGGGTTAAGACTATGTGCTCTTTTTGCAGAGGACTTGACTCCCATTATCAGCACTTTCGTGGCAGCCCACAACTGTCTCTAATTACAGTTCTAGGAGATCCAAAACCTAAACTCTGACTTCTGGAGATAATGCATGGACATGGAGCAGTCATATGTGCAGGCAAAACACTCACACACATAAAATAAAAAAGTTGAGGAACTAGTTTAAAGTCATTGCATCAAACAGTTGAAATTTCTCACTGGAGACCAGTTTAAAAGGAAAAAGTTCAAACTAAATCAATCAGTATCACTTTATTTCAAGCCAAGGTTTTACATTAATACCAACAAACTAAGCGTAGACAAACTGCTTATTCACATTTGAGAAATTACATGGTTTCTATTTAGATGTTGAAAAGTTGTTGCCACAACATTGGACTAATCTGAAACCACCAGAAAGTATAAATGTGTATCCTAAGGGTGTTGACAGTGGAAACTGTTATGGAAGTTTACATGACCATGACCATAGTGCAAACTCATTCATGTTGAATAAGTAATTCATCTGTTTTTGCAAAGGTCGTGAAAAATATTAACAATCATCAAAGAAATGCTCAGAATCACCAAGGACCCAAACAGGTTCTATATATTCTATTCCTCGATAAAGAGTGACAACACCACACACAGCGAAACCAGTGTTTTCAACTTCGAATGTGGGCTTAAAAAAATATTCTGTTAACTTGAGATTTTCATTAATTTTTAACCAAATATCATTTGACTGGCAATTCTGATATAATTTACAGCTGTAATATTCCTGAAAGGAATACCTACATACCATGGCCTATCAAATATAATCTACATTTTTGCAAATCAATACAAAAGTTATCCATCATTTCTATATCTTTTACATACTTTTTTCTTAAAAATTAGGTTTTATTGCTAAGTGAATTTAGAATTCAAATTAAATTTGGAAACCTAATATAATTATGCTCTTCAAACTTCCTGTTCTTTAAAAAAAATTTAAACACTGGAAGAAAATGATTATCAAAATGTGGCTGTAACTTAAGGCATTTAAAAAGGAAAACTAATTAGGTGCCATTGGCATTTTATTTCAAAAGTACATTTTATCTGAGTTTTCTCACTAGCAAGAGACTAATACACAAACATTTTCCCCCATAAATATGACTACAGTAATTGTAACACAGAGAAAAAGTTGATGAGCATTGCTTAGATATTAAAAGGGAGGGTGATGCTTTACCACTCACCTAAAAGAAAACAATGCTTCTGATTACACATTATAAACATGAGATTTGCTGGCCAATGTTAAAAAGTCCAGTTGAAGAATTTCAATTCAGCAACACTTGAGAATGAATATATATTTACATTTATACATGTAGGTATATATATTCATTTTATATATAGTCAATATTTCTAATAGACATTCCCCCACAAAATTATTCATACTTAATTGCCACTATTAATAAACATGTTTAAGGAGCATCCATTTGTCTTAAATGAAGTTAGGCAATATCAAATGTTCTGTTATGGTCTCCATCTTCTTCAGACTCATCCTCTGAAGCTGTTGAGAGAAAACAGGATTATCAAGAATGATTTTAAGGGTGACAAGAATGTGACTTGTAAACATGAAGCCAGAACAGCAATGACTTGTAAAAACAAAAATCCCAATTTAGTATACTGTTTGATCAAAATGATAAGTTATCATGATAGTGTTAGGGTGGCTTGTTGTGGGTGATGCCCATTCAAAATGTTCCCACCCCCACATCTTTACTGTGATGCTAGATAATTTCCATATAATGAAAATGCTTAAAAATGTGGTTTAAGAGCATTTTTCAAAAATGTTTCTGAGACCAGCTTGTGTTCACAGTAGCTAATGATATGTATATAAACATACACCAGAGGAAAAGTGAATTTAAGGCAAGTGCTCTCACACACCTGAGTAGAATCTGGCTTATTACCGCTGCATGTTTGATGCATCCGATGAGAATGAAAAAAAATGTACATAGAATAATAGGTTATGGATGTTCTTGCAATTTACATCACAGCTATGTCTATACAATGCCAAGGAAAAGCTCTATGATATAAGTAAAGCTTTATATAGACACAGCCTAACTTAAAATAATTGGCTTCAGAAAAAACAAACCAAAACCAGTAACAACAAAAAACCTGCTGCTGAGATTATCCCCATGTCTCCAAATTCTCAGAAACATTGTTTTTATAATATCTCCTACCTCAATTTACTCAATGGCCATTATTTAATATAAAACATCCTAGAATGTCTTTGGGATAGCCAAGGCAAGAAGAAGCTATGCAATACGTAATCTGATTTATAAGTTCCTTAAGATAAACATCAACTAATCTCTTTACTATTATCAAGAGCAAAAAAGCTTAATGAATGCTCTCTAGGATACTAGATCAACCCAAACTAAGAGCTGGAAAAATGTTAACATTTATGGATAAAATCTACTTAAAGTAAGTGCTATCCAGCTCATGACTGACATAAACCCTGTTGTGATGCTCTATGTTTACATATCACACTGCTGCATTGTGTTTTAGGGAGTATCGTGTTTCTAGTGATTGATTCCACAGGAAGATACAACTTGGCTAGTTTTCAGAATGTAGCAATACTCCAGTCATTTGAGATTCATTTGAGGCCGCACCATCTTCCACTGTCAGCTAAAGTTGTCTATATTTTACTTCTAGCTTTTTCTTCTCTCTTGCATACAGAAAAAAGACCATGTTATGCTTAGGAAATTATGTTTTAAATGAAAATACTTTTTTCAAAGTCAGAAAGCTTGGGGAAAAAACACTGAAACAAATGACCACAACAGTAGCCTACCAAAACAGAAATTAAAATTTTCAGAAAAAAAACTGAACTTTTGTATTAGTCAATGAGCTATTTTTTTATTAATATTACAAAGAAAAAATTCACAGTAAGCAGTAATTCCAACTAGCTCCTTTACTTTCACGTATGCTAATAAAAAATACCTAGAATGTGCTGATTTTCTCTTAAATCCTGTTAAAACCTAAAATTAGTACAGGCATAAAAACTTAAAAAGGCTAGATCTTAGAATATTTAAAGAAGTAAAAGATTTTTATGAGGACAGATCCTTCTCACATTATCTTCAAAGGATGCCAGACTTCCTTCTAGATAAGAGGTATTCTAAAGGCGGAAGTGCCTATCAACATGAAAACACATGTCAAACAATGGAGACCGCACTGGGAGGGAAACCTGTTGCTGAGGGTGAAAGCAAACAGGCAGGGATCGGATGGGTTTAATTTTCCCCACAAGTAGTTCTAAAGCCAATTTTGCCCTCGCCTGGTATGAAGCATCACGAACGTGCTATAATACAAGAAGATAGACAGCAGGTTGTGGAAATGCCTGTAAGATTTGGGATTAGGTGTCTTCACCCAACGAGAATGACAAAATGACCCTAAGAAATTTGAGCTGCCTGGAATTAAAGGTCCACAAAGAAATACCTATAAGTAAACAAAGAACAAGCAAAACCATTTTGTTATGGGCTCAAGCCTATTTTCCTGGAACCAAACACAAACCTAAATAAAGAATTCCTTCTATGATGTGGAATTTAATTAAAAAGTAATTTTTTTCATATATTAAAAATAAAAACCCTTAACAGATAGGACTTAATTTTATGTTTTCCTTTTAATCACATATAGTAAAATAAAAGTGGTTTACTGAAAATTAGTGATTAAAATTACCTCCTTTCACATATTAAACATAACTTAAAAAAATACGTTAAAAAAACTAGAGCCTATTTTCCAACCCATAGTATTCAAATAAGTTAACTGTGGTAGTATTAGGCCTATAACCAAAACTCAATTTGGTAGAAAAGAGTACATTAAGGTTTTGTTCTGTGGGTTTAATTTGCAAAAGTAAATTCAACAAATCTGGGGAGGGGAAATTCCACCTACTTTCGAGATCTTCCATATGTGCCTGAAGAGTTCTTGCAAGGTTAATAAACTAGAAACAATGCAGAAAGAAATACAGTAGTTTAAATGTTGCAAATGGATCTAAAGAGAATCACTACAGGAGATTTATTTCTACTTAAAAAGCCAAACACCGTTCTAATCCTTTAAACAGGGGTCTTTCTTCCCCAATGACATAAATTAACATTAAGGGTATTATGTTACATGTCTTACATAATCAGTTTTAATTAATCATGGGGAAACCCAGTATCATGAATAAGAGCAGATATAATCAAATAATCATTTCCAATAATACTGTCTTCCAAACACTTTCAAAAAACTTATGAAATCAATGGGGAAACAAAAAATTAGTTTTCTGGGCCTAAATGAACTAATGTTTGCCTGCCTAAACTTGATAGCTAACTCAAAGCTTGTATTCTTAACATTTTTTTTTAAAAGAAAGGCTGAATAGACCTTACTTATATATACTTTGTATGTTCTTCATTCACTAGAGTTAACAGCAAACCATTTTAGAAATCATTTTATAGTATTAACTCCAGTTGGGGCATATGACTTCTGAAGTACTTAAAAATTAACAGTAAAGTTAAGAGCATTCAAAATGATAGCTTTCTTTATTCTTAATGCAAGTAATTATTAATTGGGTCACTTAAATATCTATATAAAAATGAAGCAGAATAGTAATTTAGAAGTAACATGTATTTTGAACTATACATTTTATCATTTTCAGATAAAACAGGTTACATTAACACAAACTCAAATTTTATATACTTAAAAATTATAAAAATGGTTAATTTTACACATATTTTATTGTGTTACAGACACATTTCAATATAGGAAGAATTAAGAATGTTGAATTAAAAATATTGCAATAAGACTGACACACAAAATGGCCAAAGCAACAGGGTATAAGTGTCTTTTGACTCACTGAGATAAAGAGCATTGACTACATATATCTCACAAAAAGCTAGCTTAAAAGTACAGGTAATATTAAAAATTATTTATTGCAACTAGTTCCTTCCTCAGTTGGTAATATTATTAGTTCAAGGGTAACTCTTTACAGGATAACATCAGGTAGTAAATCTTCCATATTCTTTTGGCCTCTGGAACTCAATTTTATGTTTCTAAGATGTAATGCTAATAAGGTCTTTTTTCCACAAATTCAAAATAACAAATTTTTCTGGGTGTCCAATTCTCCCTGAAATAATTCACTTACAAGAGCTGAAAAATCACTTCTTTCTCTAAACAAACTAAGACAAATTTAGGGTATCTGTCGTAGAAGATAGCACTTTCCTTTAAATATAGACTATTTTTATTGCTAAGAAACATTTACTCCCCGCCACAAGAAGAATTAGGATTTGAACACATGAACCAATTGGCTTTCCAAGACTAATTCTTGTAGCACTGTCTCCCTCCCTCCTTCCCCAATACTAATAGTACTTACTCGAACACGAGTGCTTGGTTCAATTGTATTTCCCATCATATCAGAAAAGCTTTGCTCACACAAGTGCAGTAAGACAACTAGGTAGAGACCAGAGCTGATAAACTCATACTCAGCCTTAAAGAAGAAGCACAGAAAAGAAACAAAGAATCAATACTAGGATTGTGACTGATGATCACTGTTTATCGGTAAACTAAAGAAATGTATTCCAACACAACTTCTAGAAAGGTATACAGTCAGCTACTGCCTTACACAGGTGTGATCTTTCCTCATTCTATCTAATTATTTATATCAAAGTTTACCTTTTAAATCATATGGTGAGATAACACATATTTTGGTTTTTTGTAAAGCTCCTAACAGATTTCCTTTTACAAACAAAAATTATCTCAGTCTTCTTTACAATAACCTAAATGTATAACATGCACTATAATTTATACTGAAAATGATAACACTAGTGGTATTTTTTTTTTAAATCCTGTTAAAGGTAACACACTGATATTAGCATGGTTTTTTTTTTGGTCATGTTGGGAATGGAAGACTCAGAAATTCTAAATAGTTTCAAAATTGTTATGAGTACCCTCCTCCTTTATCTTTTTGCTTTCATGGTCTTGGGGAATAAACTCACGGTCCCAGAAATACCAGGCTAGCATTGTACCAATATAAGTACAGCTCTGAACACAAATTAGGATATAGAGATTAAAAAGCCAATCTGTCCCTTTAAATTTTACAGTGAAAAGGTCAATGTACCTGCTTTGGATGATAAACACATTTAAAATTAAGAATTGCATGCTAATATTAATTTTAGAAACTACTCATCAAATTCTACCTATCATTAAAAATTTGAAGTGAGCTGGGTGGTGGTGGCACATGACTTTAATCCCAGCACTAGGGAGGCAGAGGCAGGCAGATCTCTGTGAGTTCTAAGCTAGCCTGGTCTATAAGAGCTAGTTCTAGGACAGACTGTTACACAGAGAAACCCTGTCTCAAAAAAAACAAAACAACAAAAAAAGAACTTATTTGAAATGAAATCTTTAAATGTTTAATAATTTTGACATTATTTGCACTGAAACGGAAGTCATGTATCCGGGGAAAGTGGTTTATATTATTTCACTTTACATAGTTATAATGGCTGTATCAGGCATGGTGGCAAACTTTTAATCCCAGCACTGAGGGTTTGGGACGGGAGGGGTAGAGACAGAAAGATCTGAGTTTTAAGGCTAGCCTGATTGATATAGCAAGTTCCAAGTCAGCCTGAGATGCTATAAGTCCCTGTTTCAAAACAAAACAACCCAGTAACAAAAAGTGTTATCACCTTGCAAAAAATAAAATTTTTTAAAAAAAATTAAATTATATTGAACCAATCACTTAAAATTTAGGATAACTCTAGCCACTAGAATCCATGACTCATATAAGATAAAGCCAAGACTATCATTGCCTTTACAATGACTATACCTAGCATCTTCTAATACTTCTTTATTATGAAGAATGCAGGTCATTAAAATGATTAAATAAAAATCAAAACCCTTTATAATGAAAATATGTGACTTAATTTTGAGAGAATGTACTTCTAAAGGTAGCAAGAGAAAATAACTCTAGTCTAAGACAACAATATGTTTTATCTATATGCTGTAAGTCCATAGAGTTCATCACAAACTTTCAATGTGCATGTATATAAATTTGTATGTAGGTATATGCATGTGAGTTTAAGCATTCTCAGATGCCAGAGTTATGAGCCATCCAACATTAGTGGGAGCAGAACTCGGGTCTTCAAAAAAGAAACCTTTTATTATATGATTTCATCAACATATATTATCCCAAGCTGGTCAGCTATAAAATATAATAGACTGTAAGGTGGTGCTGTTGCCTACTTTGTGTCCAATTTCCTAAACTTTTATTAATTTTTAGGCTTACTTACAAAATCTGACAGTTTATCTTAAATTAGTCTTTTATTTAAAGGGAAATTTTTATGAAATTATAAACTCATATTAATTATGGTAAGAATATTACTAATGTAGGTTTTCTGACCATGACTTAATCTTTTCTTCAAGAGCTGTCCTTTAAGCACAGAACAGACACTTACCAAACTAGGCAAAATATACTAACTTGTTCATTTGCATGAGCTCTATGTAGTTCATGAATATCAAAATCCTCCAGGTTAAGTTGCAACTTCTCTTTACAGAGTTCACAGGTGGTTACAGCTTCTAATGAAGAACCTGACCCAAAAAAAAAAAAAAAAAAAAAAGAAAAAAAAAGTTAAATAGTAACTGGTACAGTTTTTCTGTCCTAAGATCAAGTTTAAAATACTGGAGGTAGACAAGCATGAAAGATATTGCATGGTATACACATAATGCATACAAAATTAATGACGTACAATGACAAATGTGCACGTCATGCTGTATTGCAGCATGCATGCCTCCACCCATCATTTGGAGGCCTTTTTTAATCCTACACACTCACACATCCTGTAATTATGGGATGCTGACAATGAGGCAAAGGAATGTCACCTGTACTTACTCCTTCTTCCTGAAGTACGCTGGCAAGTTACAAAAACAATGTTTAATGACATAGCATCTTAAACAGTAGTTAAAGGCCAGTATTTTCGGTACCACAGCATACATATGCAGACCTTATATGTGATCTAAGCAATGTGCCGACCCTGCTGACTCAAAGAGGAAAAAAAGAGATCCACCATTGTCCAGATAAAAGTAGTTCATTTCAGCCAATTAGTAGAATTAAGTCCTCCTATGTTTTATAACAATGCTCAACCCAAGATACACTAATAAAGAAGATGTTAATGGTGCCAGCAGGATACACAGCAACGGGCTCAACACTATCATGGTCTGGGAAGAGGATGAAGTGCAGAGTTACAGCTTACTGACTACAAACTTTCTATGTTGGGTGATGGAAAAGTTTTTGAAGTAACTACTAAAGTTACACATTGGAAAACAATCAAAGTGGTTAATTTTCCTTACAGTATTTTTGGTATAATTTTTTTTGGAAAACAGAAAACAAAAAACTTTTGTTCTGTCACACCCACTTCACTTTAGCAGGTGGTCATGTCTAATGACATATGTGGGCCTTTCCAATATTTGGGGATTATTAGATATGGCTACCAATTGAAAACTGTCCTCAAATAAGTTTTATGAGTAGCAGTGAACAGATCCAAACCCGATTACATTTTTTGAGTGAACTTGTACCAATCTACAACTAAAGACTGTGCAGACTGGGAAGAGTAAGAACATCATCAAACTCGTTTAAAAGATAGTCTAAAGGAAGTGTATGCAGTAAAGAATCTGCCAACATTATTAGTGGGGAGGGTTTTACTTTTTTTACTTGAGTAAGAGAGAGAAAATAAACAGAGACATCTGGAGGAGCCCAAAGCAAAGAGAGAAAGAAGTAGACTGGACAAGGTCAGCAGACTGAACATGGCCGGGGCTATCTGCAAAGGGGAGAAGAGCAGGGGAAAGACCATAGAGAAAGCATAGTAAAAGTACAAAGCGGGGGAAAGCCTTGCCATTGTGAAGAGAGGAGAGAACCAGCATACTGAGGGGAGGCTTTGAGATGATAACCCGTATTTGTGACACTGAAGGAGCTTGGAGGCCAGCATGCACTTTGATGAGCAACCACAGGCTGCTGAGTGAATCAGACCCATTTTACACAATTATTTCAGCTTACACAAAGTATAAACTTCTCTCACTTTCTTATCACCATTCTGACCGGAGGTCTGGTCTTACCCTAAAATCTCTTCTCCAAAACAGCCAATAAAAATAAGAACATTTCAATTCTGCCCCCTTCAGTAGCTTCCCATCATACTTAGATAAAAAAAGTTCTAGTCTCTACCTTTACAAGTCTTACATGAACTACTATTCTTTCTTATCCCAACTGCATCTACCAAACCTTTACCCAACTATTAATTGATACTAGTCATACCATACACCATTCAGTTCTTCAAATACACCTAAGTCTTTCTTATGAGCTCTACTCTGCTAAAATGTTCCTTTCCTTCTGAAAGCCAGTTCTGTATATCAAGGTCTAAAATTAAATGGTGTTTCCTAAGAAAGGTGCTCTCTTAATGACAGTAAGATGGGAACAGGTGCTTTTTATGTCTTGTGTACCACACTCTAAACCCCACTTCTGGAACTGTACTGGACTCTCCTACCAGTACACACAAAGGAACTCACTGACAACCTGCTAAATGACACAGGCAATAACTCTATCTCAATACACATAGCTGCTATATGGTGAGTGTGCTTGACTCAAAGGATTGTATATGCCATAACCACTGGTTAATTAAATTATATGGATTAAACAAGTATGAATACATTTAATAATACATTAGGAAAAGATTGTTAGCCAAAATGCCTACAGTATGTGTTATCTCTTGGGAAATGATTTGAAAACAAGTATCTAAAAGGGTGAATCTTACCAGAATTAATTTTGGCCTGTAACCACTTTTTCATACACTCTTGATGGACATACTGCAGACTCCCTGTGCATTTGCATGGCTCTATTAGTAAATTAGATGATGATGCAGCTGCCATTTGACAAATTCTACATAAGTCTCCTTCTTCTTCTTCAGAGTCCTCTAAAAGGAGGCTGAAAAATAAGGCCCAGATTTCAGAGATATCTTAATTCCTCCTAGCAGGTCATCTTCATTACAGAGAATTCCAGTCTTCCATTTGTACTCATACTGAGTACAAAAAAGTAAACAGTAAGAATAAAGCAACAATAGTAACAATTGAGGGGTCATGTTATTATGAATAAAAACTGTTATATAAGACCAGACATACTGTAACTCAGCTTCAAATAGTTTACCTTTTCTCTGGTAACACCCTTTAAGTTCACCTTTTTCACAATCACTAAGATTTTAATTACTGAAGTCTTCTAGATTATTTTAAATACAATAGTATAAGGGTAACATACACATCACTCTGTCCATTTTATCAACTGCAAAAGAATTCTGAAAATACTTCAATTAAGTACAGACTGGCTTGTAGTTTCTCATTGACACGTTATCAAAACTGACAAATTATTTGTATTCATTGAATCAAAATTTTAAAAATAGAAGACTTAAAAATTCTCTAGAACTGTACTCTCAACAATCTTACTAAATCATTTTAGTATACATATGTTTTAAAACATGCAACATTTTCTATTATCCTCTCTCTGTCCTCTATTTAACAGGCTAGCATGTACTATTCATATGAATTCACTTTATAACAAGCAAAGTTTCCTTGGCTCTGTATTTTGTTAGTTCACTGATAGCACATGAAAGAAGACTCAGTACACTGATAGTACTGAATGACGAACTGCTACTGAAACATAACCTGGGCAGTATGAGTGACTTTAGCAAGACTGAAAGAGACACACCGACAGTAAGGTGACTTTTTGTCCTAGTTTAATCAAAAACATGATATCAAGCCAAACTATCCTGAAAAGCTGAACATTTTGCCCTGTATTAAATGTTCTTCCCTTCATAATTTCAATAAGTAGATCCAATTTTTCTGTTTATTGACTTAACTGGTCAAGTCTTAAATTCTCATATATAAGGCAAAATACAATAAACACACAAATACACATACTACAAACTCTGTCTAAATAAATGCTCATTTAAAACTACATAAGTAGGATCTGGTATAGTACATTTCTTTAATACAAGCACATGGGAAACAGAAGCAAGTAAGTCTCTATCAGTTCCAGGTCAACCAGGGCTACATAATGAGATTCTGTCTCAAACAAAATAAAACATCAAAAACCAAAATTAAACCTAACTAGATAGAATAGTAAAGAATTATAGACCAGTCAAGATCAATAAATAAAACTATCTTTGAAGGTTAGAACTCTAAGTTATTCTTTAGATAGCTTACAATCAGAGGGAATTGCTACAATGAACAAGTATTAAAGCTAATATTACTAGGGGAGAGGAAAATTTAAAATCAGGAAAATAGCCCACAGCAAAATATATAAAAAAAGGAAAACTGAGAAATACAAAAATCAGTGGTGAACCAGTTAATTTATTTTAGGCTAATTGAGATTGGTGATGCTTTATCATTTGGTTCCTCTCCCCAATTAAATTCCATTTAGCAGCAGTCTAACTATAGAATTAAGGAATTAATTAATGTCTGTGTGTATCAAGATAAATTAAGATACCTTAAATTGTTTCTTGATAAAATTCATACCCTAGAACCTACCTTATTATTATCACCATTTTCCTGTAAGTCTCAGTAACACCATGTTTAAAGAAGAAAGCAGATGAGAGCCATTTTAAAACTTTAAACTGATCTAGCTTTACAATGTACAATGAATATTCAAATTTACCTTTCTTTTATTTTTTGCAGTTTCTCTGGGTCTCTTGAAGGTGCACTTTTAGCTTTATCACTTTTCCCATCAGCTGCGTTCCAGCCTGAAGGAATAATATCTACAGTAATCATGACATTGTCGGTCAGACTGCTTCCAAGTGTTGGTGGGACTGCAAACCGGAATAGGGAACCAGGAAGAATCCCTGCTAGTCCTGTACTTCTTCCACCCTGAGGCAAATCTGGTGTGGGGCCACCTGCAGAAACACTGCTTGCTGCTCCAGATGCTTGTGGTCTGTTGGCAGCAGCCCCAAGGGGATCACTCGGTGTTTCAAGGTGAACCACTTCATTTGATTCTCTTCTAAAAAGATGAGATCTAGGTGGGACATCTGACACAGATATCCTTGAAGATTCATCTCTTCCCTCTCGCCTCCTCCTAGAGAACAAAGGTGTGCATCTATTTCTAAGGGAGGAAGACAACCATGGTCCTGTACTTCTACCTTCTGATTCTTGATTAAAATTTTCCGTATCTGGTTCAGAGCTATGATTTTGGCTAAGAGATGACAAACCCCACCTTCGCCTAAGGAATCTAAATCCCTGAGAAGCTTCAGATGTCCTGCTATCACTGACTTCAGAAGATGATGCTCCATTACTCCGAGACTGTGAAGTCAAGGTTCTTGGAGAAATATAATTATCAGAACTCAATGATCTTGTATTCAAGGAATCTTGACCAGATCTTCGTGAAAAAAAAGTTGATGACATGCTAGAAGCTATCCGTGACAGCAATCTTCTAGTAGTACGCCTACCTTCATTGTCAGAAGATTCTTGAAATGGTCTCCGAGATGAACTAACCCTTTCTGAATTGCTTATAACTGGGGTTTCATCTCTACTTGAAAGATATGAAAATGTGGGATGTGAAGCATTTCGAAAAGATTCTGATTGTCTTGGAGAAAAATGTGATCTGAAAGAATTTCTGCTAGAGTTCCTAGAACTTGATATTGTTTGATGTTCAGAAGGCAATTGGTGATTGGTAGATGATGAATTCAACTGTAAATTGCTCACTGAATTCTCTTTTGGTCTTGCTCCCTGTGAATATGAAGAAGGAACTCTTTCTTGAACATCTATTTTTGAAAGAAGGGAAGGCAACCAATTATGAAATAATTTAATTATTATTAAATGTACATTTATTGACTACTGCCAGACTGAAAGACTAGGTTTGAAATGAATACTGCTATCTATAACAGCTTAACTATTATAGGAAAAAATTATTTCTGAAGTATTCCCAAGTAAACTCAATACTACAAATTCACATCAAAGTATGAAAGCTTATAAAAATAAGTTGCTGAAGCAAGTTGAATACATTAATGAGAGACCGATACAATAGAAGACGCTCAAGAATTGACACAGAACGTTAGTTCAAGTAAAACAGTACAATGATAAAAAAGCAAAACCATCCCAGACAAAGTCTTGAAGATTCTTATTCTATGCAAAAAGTTATTTTATGTGAATGCTATTGCCTTATATTTTTATAATATTCCTTGCTATTAACAGGTAAGGATTTCTTTAATTTTGGTTACTCATCAGGCATACCTTAGCCCTTTAATGCAGGTTTGGAACTGTGAGTCAATACAGGTTACTGCTAACAGCTATCTGGGCCAGGAAGGAGGAAGACAGAATTCCAGGCCTGGCTGGATTAGTTTGACCTTGTCTAAAGATCAACACAAGATAAAGACAGAACTCCACAAAGGGAGATTTAACTCTGAGTGGAGATAAGAAACATTATTACTCTTTTGTGAAAAATACTTCCTATAACCCTTGTATAACAGGTACATTTATTATTGGGCTTATATATGGAGACCACAGGAAGGATAAACTACAACAGGTTGAATCTATTCCTGTTCTGTAATTTGACTAAAACAAGCATAAACCCACTTCTGCACGATCCTTTTGTTAACTCTGATTAGTGTTCTTTTCCTTCGGTTACTTAGGCTTCTGAAAAGCTTAAGTCTACATACAGAGACAAAAACTGTACATGCTTGAAATTTTAATAAAATCAAAACAACCATACAGTTCCAAATAATTCTTAAAATGGTTAATCTGGGAGCCAGAAAGATAGCCCAGCAGTTAAGAGCACTAGCTTTATCAGAGGACTTGGGTTCCATTCCCCAAACCCACATGGTGGCTCTCAGCCATTTTTAACTTAATTCTAGAGAATCTGTCATGTTCTTCTGGCCTCCCTGTGCACCAGGCAAACAAGTAGAGCATAGACATATATGTGGGCAAATACAGCTATACACATAAAATAACTGATAAAAACGGTGCAATAAACAGTTATTTCATAATTCAGTTACAAGTACACATTAAAACTGTTGTAGACAAGCAGTACTGTAGTATGGAAGAATTATCTAGTTTTACTTTATTAACATATATAAAATTTTTTTCATGTATAAAAATTTTGAAAGCAGACAGAATCTGACTACTCAAGAACATCTGTTTTTAAACTATTTATTTTTTATTTTTATTGTTTTTTGAGGCATTGTTTTTGAGGGCAGCTTTGTAGCCTGCCCTTCTTGAAACTCATGCTATAGACCATGCTGGCCTCAAACTCAGAGATCTGCCTCCCAAGTGCTGGGATTAAAAGCATATGCCACCACTGCCCAGCTACATTGCTTATATTATTTTTCAAGTAAATCAAGATGCTAAAAAATTAGACAGTTCTGATATCCCCATAAGAAATTAAAATTTAATTTCTTCCACTGTATTGTTATCAATGTCACAGAGATCATGTGTACTAACATATAAGCTATACTTAACAAAGTAGTTTATACATACATGATGAAGTTGTGAAATCACCACTTCGGTGATTATAATCCATAAGATTGCTAATGGAGGAATCTGTTCTCCTCTCCAAATCTCTCCTTTCTCTAATCAGGTCTGTTCCAAATGAACCAAGTACCATTGATGAAGATCTGGGAACTTGATTATGCCTCCAAGAAGAATCTAAAAGTAATGCAAGAAATTTTATTTCAGAGAAGGCTTTCAAGCTTCATTTATCTTTAATACAGTAAAGATAACTATATCATTATAGCTATACCCAGTTATATAGCCAAGTTTAGCCAAAAAAAAAAAAATCACCACTAATGAACTAATCATCTCTTAATTACCTTCCTGTTCAAACATTCTTCTTTTTTGATACTGGGGACTAAACCCAGGACCTTAGGTATGGTAAATCTATGTATGTTAAACATTAGATCCTGCACACTGCAAATCTATTTTTATACATAACTTAAATGTCTCATTCTCTGCCCATGTATGACGTAACATTATGTTAAAATAATTATGAGTCAAAACTGAAAATCTGCCAAAGATACAGAACACTTCATAAAAAGTCAAAGTGAGGGCTAGAGAGATGGCTCAGAGGTTAAGAGCATTGCCTTCACATTGCCTGCTCTTCCAAAGGTCCTGAGTTCAATTCCCAGCAACCACATGGTGGCTCACAACCATCTGTAATGAGGTCTGGTGCCCTCTTCTGGCCTGCAGGCATATACACAGACAGAATATTGTATACATAATAAATAAATAAATATTAAAAAAAAAAAAAAAAAGTCAAAGTGATGATGGGAAACTACCCAAACCAGAACCAAAGTCAGGCATGGTAGCTTAATCTTAACACTAGGAGGCAGAAGCAGAAACAGGCAGCCAGGCTTCTGTGAGTTCAAGGCCAGCCTGATATATAGAGTGAATTCTAGGCCAGGGCTACAATAGGAGACTCAGTTTCAAAATAAATAAAAATTAAAACCAAGCAATTTTGATCTGGTAATTCAATTATAGAATCAAGTACAATTTTATCATGAAAAACAACTTTTCCCTATGTGGGGAATTGGACCTAAACATTTACATACTCTAAACATATATTCTATCAACCTCAGAAATATTTTTACTGTCATATTTCAGTCTTTACAGTAAGAATTAATGTATGTTTTGCAATGATACTCCAAATTTTATTAGATATGATTTCATTACAAAGTCAACTAAAATTAATTTTCAAACCTATTTTGTTTTTTTCCTTTCTTAGCTTTAATGATTCTTCTACCTTGTAGGAAATTACCCAGTGAGTTTAATGTTATACCTTCACATCGGATAGGAGAACAAAAATTGGTTCTGCAAAGTAATGTGTGTCTACAAAGGTCAGTCTGCTCTTACCCAGTTCACTACTTTAGTGCCCTTCCGAAGTGCAATGTCTTTGCTTTGGAGGTTCTAGCTATACAAACTGAAAGGAGTCACTTACACTTATTTAGTTGGTAATAATGCACAAGCATTTTATCTCTGTGCTATCACAAGTTGTCTCCTTTTACAGCTGTAGGGGTTGCCTACCATTTTACTGGAGGAGTTTCAGAAGGAGGAAATCTGCTTTCCTAGCAAAGACTGTTAGAACAACACGAATACATAAACAGTATAAAATATAGGGGAGCACTGGGCGGTGGTGGCGCACACCTTTAATTCCAGCACTCGAGAGGCAGAGGCAGGCAGATCTCTGTGAGTTCGAGGCCAGCCTGGGCTACAGAGCAAGTTCCAAGACAGGCTCCAAAGCTACACAGAGAAACCCTGTCTTTATAAACCAAAAATTAAAAAAAAAAAAACCACCAGTATATATATATAGTTCAGAGCTTTATGGATAAATCATGCAAATCCCACAGTGGTTTGGTAATATGTTCAATGTCATTCTTGTATAGTTATGTAGAGCTCTTAGTTTCCAACTTTTTTTTAAGAGTTTTGATACTTTCTGAAAAGTATCATATACTATGTTTATCAGTTGAAGGACACATGATGAGGAAATATTTAATGTTTATCAGACATGGCTTATGCAGTATTACTTTAAAAACCTCTCATAATAACCAACAGACCACTCATGACTTTCACCAACTTGAACTACATACTAATACATAGTAATGTTAGAGTAGAGCATGGTGGCACATGCCTTTAATCCATATACTCTGTATATTCTGTGTTAGGCAAGGCTATACAATGAGACTCTGTGTCCAAAAACCAAACCAAAGACAAAACAGTTATTCTACCTAATTAATAACCTAACATTCTCTGTTTTGTAAAGCAAAAAGGCAAAATGAGTAGTCAACTCAGATTCACCACCAATTTAAGGTAAAATTTTGGAAACTAATTGCATTTCCAGACCCACTATTAAATATAAACTATTTTATTAAAAATATTAAGATATTAAGAATCTCAGAGAGGAAAGACTTTGATCCAAAACATTTCATAAAGTGGCTTTTAACAGAAACTGAGTAACTTCTTACCTGATACTGTATTTAAGCCACTTCCAGTACTTCTCCCAGCTGAGGTAGATGTACAGTTTACACAAGAAAGTTTAGGTCTCTTTGAATCATGATCCCGTTGTGGGTTTTGTACCCTAGATCGAGCTCCCTGAGTTATCTCAGATTCACTATACCATGTAGACTGAAATGGTGATGCAGATGCTGATGCTGATGCAGACTGTAAAATAATTAAGAAAAACTGCTTTTTAAATTACTCAGTTTCAAAGAAAATACTAATATTCAAAAAAAAATCAAGCTAATGGTTGTTGGTAATGTGGATTCTAAAAGGCAGGTAATTAGGAGGTAGTGAGAGGGCTGTGCTGGGGACTAACCAAACCATGGGTTCTGGGATACTAGGTACACACTACTACTGAGAGAAACCCTGAGACAGACTGATCAATCAACCAACAACAAAAGCAGAAGTATTTACCAGCTGTATTGTTATTTTACCCACTGCTTTGTACATATAATTAAATTAATAAGTATTTTCACTGGAAGAAGTACTTATCCACAGATAAAGCCATCCACCAACACCCACCACTTCCGCTAAAATTTATTTTAATTAATGAAAGTTTCCTAATTTTAGAAAGCATTTTATAAAGACTATACTCTTAGCCACAATTCAGAAGCCCCACAAATAATTAGCTATTAATTTTATCTCTACTTTAATAATTTAAGGTTGTTAAGATGCCTCGGGTGCAGTTTTTTTTTAAAAAATTAATAAATGTGCCCAAAGCCTTTTGAATTTGACTGTACATATATATTCAAGTTAAAAATACTACCTGATATTCAGAATCCAGTCTAAAGGAAGAGTCTCTAGAGTGATAGGGATCATTTAAACTAGTTCCTCTGTTTCCAGACACCATCCTAGAACTTAAAGAGCCAGAGGGTTGAACAGAAATTCTTCTTGGAATCCTGGAAGGTTTAGACTCCATGCTCAAGGTTTCCTGTGAAATGCAAATTTGTGTTAATTTTATTTTGGAAGGCAAGCAAGCACTTACCTCCCACCCCCAACTATATACAGCAACAATTTACTCTAAAATATTCATTTAGTTTGAGACACAATTCAGGTGTCATAACAGAAAAGGAGCCATTGAAGAACTGGCCCGGCCAGCTCAAATTAGCAGGTAAAGGTGCTGTTAGCCTTGCAAGCCTGGCCTGAGAGCAGAGTTCCATCTCCAGAGGAGGCAGAGACAAGAATCCCCAATTCACCAAGAAGTTCTCCCATCAGCTAGTCTGGAGTAAACATTCACCTGTGAAACAGATGAAATTCTGCCTCCATAGGGAGGGAGGAAAGAACTGACTCCAGAGAACTGTCCTCTGCACACGCACATACAAAATAAATTTTAAAAATTAAAAAGCATCAGATAGTCAAATCAACTATTTGCAACAATATTAAAATATGAAACTCTCACCACCCTTCTCCTTGAAGGCAGAGGTTTGGTTAACATCCAGTCAAGGTTTCCTAATGCACATTTAAGAGATATGGAAAGATGTTCTACACAACACACAGATCTGTCTTGCAATGCCTCAACTTCTTCCTCACATTTATCCTTGACTCTTGTGCCATCCTTTGTAATGTACATGCCTCTTACACTACTTTCACATCCTTTAACAAATTTACTCTTATACATCTGGGAGGCCTGAATATTCCTTATCTAATTTCTGCCCATCAGAGTAAATCTTTATTCTGTATAATTCCACTTTTCACACATTTTTAAGATACCACAGCCTGTTATTTGCTTATCACTTTATTTCCCTTTCTCAACAATTAATTTCTTTAGGTCAGGATCATTTGAAGTACTTCTAAACCACAGCCTAGATAATGTACTGGCAGGAATTTTCTAAGGATAGACCTTTGTGACCCGCTTCCTTTTGGCTATCAGACTGTTAAGACTGTAACAAACCTAACAAACTGGAATGTCTCCAGGCCTGGGTGTGTGCCCCCCCCCCCCCCAGAAGATTTCACACAGTCCCAACATGCTGATCAACTACCTGGCAGGAGAGACTGGAGCACAGACAATGATTGGTCAGAGATGGTAAGGACCACACTTTCATCATGACTGCTTAGTTATGCAAACCTCTTGCCTTTAACTGAAATCTAAAGCTAGACCTTGGAGACCCGCTTCCTTTTGGCTATCAGACTGTTAAGACTGTAACAAACCTAACAAACTGGAATGTCTCCAGGCCTGGGTGTGTGCCCCCCCCCCCCCCCACAGAAGATTTCACACAGTCCCAACATGCTGATCAACTACCTGGCAGGAGAGACTGGAGCACAGACAATGATTGGTCAGAGATGGTAAGGACCACACTTTCATCATGACTGCTTAGTTATGCAAACCTCTTGCCTTTAACTGAAATCTAAAGCTAGAGGCAGGAGAGATGGGTTCAGCAGTTAAGAACACTTGCCGCTTGCTCTTGCAAAAGGCCAGAGATCCCAGCACCCACAAAAGAAAGCTTACAATCATCTTTAACTCCAGCTCCAGTGTATCGATCCTCCTCTTCTGGCATCCATGGGCAAGCGCATATACATATAAATAAGTAAAATAAATGAACCCACTTATGTTGTATGTTGAGAATGGAGTGTGTGTGTGTGTGTGTGTGTGTGTGTGTGTGTGTGTCTTCTTTGTTTCTATTACTTCTCTGTGTAATTGGTCTGTTAGGACAGGTGGTTGAGCCTAGCTTATTAGAGCTGCCAGACTGACTCAAACAATGTGGGAAAACAGGTACTCAAAACATACAAGTTGAAAATCATAAAAAGAATAAATATAAAACAGGATATAACACACCCCCATGCCTGAACCCTAGCATTCCAGAACCTGAGGCAGAACTTTGAGAGGCTAGCCTGAACTACACAGGGAAAACATGTCTCCAAAATAAGTATTTTCCTTTTATTTACCACTGATATGCTCTCTTAACGCTAACATAGATAAAAGTAATAGCTGGCATTTACCAAACACCATGTGAGGGTAAGGGACCACTGATTACTCATTAGTCGTTGGCAAAGCGATCCTGTGAGTAAGTGCTCTTCTAGTGCTCCTTTGTAACTTACTTGGAATATCAGAAAGGAAAGATCTATAAAATACATAAACCAGAGATGGAACTAATTATATGGTAATTTACCAGCTCAGCTGGTAAGGTACTTGTTGGGCAGCAAGCATAAAAACCTAACTTCACTCACATATAACTAAGCATATATTATACTTAAAGAGGCTATGGATTCAGTTCCCAGCCCCCACACCGGACAGTTCACAACTGCATATCAAGTACTCCAGCTACAGGGTATGTCTCTGGCTCTCTCTCTCACTTGCATATACCAAGCCCCAACAATTCAAACTAAAAATTGTTAAAAATAAAAATATTTTAAAAAGTTAAAAACTTTAAAAAAAAAATCCCTTGGGGTAGGAAGACAGGGTTTCTCTGCATAGCCCTGGCTATCCTGGAACTCACTCTGTAGACCAGGCTATCCTCTGCCCCCCAAGTGCTAGCCCTGTTCTTATGCTTGCCCACCTTAAAGCTAAACTAAGCCTAGTCATGGGATCCTTGCCTAGACTTCACACTAACCTGTTATTTAATTACTTGTGGTGATTGACATTAGTATCAGCCTACACCTTCACCATCATTACTGGCCACTTTAACCCTTTTTTGGGTTTTCTGTATTTATTGTGTATCATGGGATGCATGACCAGGTTTGTTAACAGATATTACTAATTAAGACTAGAATATAATAAAGTACTTGTGAAATCAATGGTAATCAGCAAAGTAAGACCAATAAAGCCTAAGTAGCTTGTGGATTTGTTATTAAATAAATTTTGACACATCAGTCTGTTTCTGGCTATGACACAGCAAATATTAGATAACTTATAAGTCTGTAGTAAATAAGAAAACATGTCAAGTGTCTTATTATGTAACTAAGAAATTTTCAGCAAATGAGAAATAAGACTGAAAGCAATACGGATGTGGTTAAAGCAACCATATCAGGAACTACTGAGAACAGGCTACCTTCTATCTTCGGTCCTTTTGCTCACCTTTCAAGGCCTCATAAATGTAATCAAAGACTTAAATAAAAAAAAAATACACTGAGGGGGAGCTGAAGTAGGACAGGTCCAGAAACTCAGCAAAGGATGGTGTTATAATCTAGGGACCAGAAAGATATAAGAACTAGAAACAAAGTATTTAACCTTATCATCACAGAACAAAAATTTGTCACTAAAGCAAGAGTAAGTGAATCAAAGACTTAAACCATTAAAAAAAAAAAAAAAGGGAAGAAAAAGAAAAGACATCATAGCAAAATACAATTTTTATGGAAACTACTGACAATTCCTCAAAGATAAAAACAGACTTATCAGAAAACACAGTAATTCCATTTTTGGGCATCAACCAAACCAAACCAACCCAACCTAACCAACTGAAAATAAGGGTCTTGAAATTATATGTACATTCCCAAAACAGCAATATTTTTCACAACAGAGCTCAAATGTTACCGATAAATGGGTAAATGGCTAAGTAAAATGTGGTGCATACATGTAACTCATATCAACCAGCCTAAAAAGGGAGGGAGGGCCAAGCAAGGTGACTTAGCAGGTATCTGGTGCCTTGCTGGACAATCTGAGCTGGATCTCTGGAATCTACAAGGTTGAAAATAAACTGCTACAAACTCGTCTCTGACTTCCACGCATAAGCTATGGCACACACACACCCATGAACATACACATCACTCACCTACCAAAATAAGCTGGGTGTGGTGGTGTATACCTCTAATCCCATTACTAATGAGGCAGAGGCAAGCAGACGTCTGAGTTCAAAGCCAGCCTGGTTTACACAGTGAGTTCCAGGACAGAGATACACAGAAAGACCCTATTCTCAAAAATCCAAAAATAAAATAAATGTAATATTTTAAAAAAGCTTTAAAGGGAACATTCTGACCCATGATAGACTATTAATCAGTCTTGAAGAAATTATACTTAAACAAGTCAGTCACAAGACAACTATTACATGATTTCACCTATCTATTTAACACAGTCAAAATCTTAAGGACAAAAAAAAAAAAAAAACAGAAAAGCAGTTACCAAGGGGAGCCAAGATTTACCACTTAAAGTGTGTATAGCTTTAATATTATGAAAAGAACTATGAAGATGGGTAGTAATAATGGTTATATGTCAAATAAATATATCTAATAAAATCAATTGTACACTTAAAACACAATTAGGATGATAAATTCTACATAATGCCATTTTACTACAATCAAAAAATTATGGAGAGAAAAAAAGATGACGCATGGGGCTAAAAATTCCATTAGTTAAAAACGTTTATTTGGAGAGGGCTAGGGGACAAATTAGGCAGCAAAGTACTGAAGTAAGTCACGTGATTTAAATTCAATCCTTAGTAGCTACACAAAAAGGCAATGGGATGACATGTGCTTTTAATCTCAGCCATGAGGAGTTGGACTAAGTCTGGTTAGCTAACCTAGCCTGCCTGCCAAGTTCCAAGTTCAGTGACAGACTTAACTGACTCTCACTGACTCTCTCTCTCTGCTTCCCCCCCCCCATGAAAAATGTTGTTAGGAGAATTATAATTTTCTATTCTTAAATCACTAAGAAACACAAGAGGTCAGGACAGAAAAGATGGCTTAGCAGTTAAGACTGCAGAGATCTGGGTTCCATTCCCAGTACCTACATGACAACTCTCAACCACCTGCAGGCGTATACATGGTGCAGATATATACATGAAGGCAAAATAATCCTACACATAAAACAAACCTAAAAAGATTTTAAACAGAAACAAACAAAAAAATCAGAGGCAAGATTTCCAAATAATAACATTTGGTATATTCTCAAAAAAATTATAGCTCAAAGTAAGAGTACTTTGTGGGGCTGAAGTGATGGCTCAGCCAAGACTAGGATCACAACCAAAAATATAAGAGTGCTTTTCACTGGCATGCATGCAA